CCCCTTCCCCGCGAGACCTTGGGCTCAGAAAGGATGGAGCCGTCTATTTGCCTATTTGTGGGGAGGGATAGTCGCAGAGCAGGGCCTGGGGCCAGAGCCAGGGTCTTTCTGACCCCTTGAGCCTCCTGGAGCAGAAGGAAGAGACAGGCCTGGAGGCAGGGAAGGCGGCTGAGGGTGCCCTCTGGGCTCTCACTCCTCAGAGCTTCCTCCTGGTGATTCATCCCCTCCCCCATCCTCTAGTTGTTTTCACTCAATTCTTTTGTTTCCCCTCCTTTTGCCAGTCCCAGACTGCGGGGGTGGCGGGGGCACAAGGAGGGGGTTTCAGGTGGCTGGCTGGCTTTCATGGCTTTTCAAAACCCCAGACTCTCCCTCGCCCACCTGAGTTTTAGCTTCGCTACTTTCTCAGCCCTGGGATCTGGGTGCATCAGCAGAAAATTCTCGGCATGGGCTGGGAGGGGTGCTCACCAGGTAGCCTGACCCCCCGCCTAGCCCTCCCCTCCACCTCCCCTGCGGTGGTACCCACCACCGTGGTTTCCAGCTTTGCAGAAGCTGCGGGAACTGAGAGCTGAGGAAGGAGGGAGGGAGGCTGGCGACTGGCTGGGCACACTTGTGGTCTCCCTGGGCAAAGGGACTCAGAGTCTGGGCTGGGGGGAGAATGGGGCCTAAGCTAAGAAAAGAGACACGTTCATTCCCCTTTCCCATTCACTCACTCGAATCTGCAGAGAGGTCTGCAGAGATACGTGAAAGCCAGTCCACACCCAGTGGAGCTGTGTCCTGCCAGAGGAGTCCCAGTCGGGAGCTCTGCTGGGCTGGGCAAGCTGCCCACCTTCCCCTGGGTAAAGGCGGGAGGAAGAGCCGGGACAGAGGGCATATTGTCTCTCTGGATCTTTACATTACACATAAGTCCCGGCTATAGTTCCACGGGTGTCCTCCCTGAATTCGGTTGCTAGCCTGCCCCCTCACTTCACACTTCCCCCTGCAGCCAGTAAGGACCCCGTCCCCTATCCCATCCTCCTCAGTGCGTTTGGGCAGCTCATTCTTGTAGGGTCCAAAGCTAAATGGTTGAGGACACTGTTGTAACCTTAGGCAAGCCGTTTACTCTCTCCCCCGGACTCAGTTATTCCTCATCTGTGCAATGGGGACAGTAAAGTAGTGCCTACTTCGCAGAGTTGTGATCATTCAATGAAAAATGTCCACAAAACCTGGCAGAGAGATGGAATTCAGCCTACCATTGTTATTCCTCCTCAATCGACGTCCACTGGAGAAAGGGAGAAAGAGGAGACAGGGAAGGCCCAGCTCGAGAGTGACAGAGCCCTAGAGGAGATGAGGACCCCAGGTTCCGCTGTCTGCGTCCATTCTCCACCAGACCCCGGGGCGCAGTGGTTCTGGGGTTTGAGGGGAGAGATCCTCCAAGATGGAAGCCCCCACTTTGCACCTACCATTTCCTCTCTGTGGCATAGGGCACCTGGACAGGGCCCAGGGCTGGCTTCCTAGGGTGGCACAGAGCAGCTCTGGATGTATTCAAAGCGCGCTATCAATGAATCTCACAGCTGTGAGGAGGGTGAGATTAGAAGCTAGAGGGAGGGGAGCACAGACTACTTGCTCTCTACCGTATTTCCCCCTAGGACGCTCGCTGCTGATCCTTCACTGTGCAAAGCAATCCAGGAGAGATGCATTTTCTTTTCTCGGTGTCTCACCAGAATGACATTGTTAGAGGTCACACTGGGTGGTGGAGAAGATACCAGAATGAGCTGGGAGAGAGACCACCAACACCACACTCACCTGGCACAAAAGCAGGAAGAGGGAAGAAGTTCTCGCTGCTCAAAAGTGTAGGCTGAGCCCAGCCAGCTTGGGTGCCAACCAGGAGCTTGTTCAAATGCAGAATCGAGGCCCCTCTCAGACCTCCCGAGTCAGGACCTGCCTTTTAACCAGATCCCTGGGCGATCTCATTTGAGACAAGCAAAGGCTAGAGTCATCTAGTCACTGGGTGGCTTCAGGAGACCACATGCATAAGTGGCCATGTCTCTGTCCTTGGAATGAAAGGATGTCCTTGGATGGGCCCTGGGAGAGATCCCCCCAGAGCAGCATGCGGGCAGACGGGGCTCTGCAGGGGCTGTGCTGCAAGGCTGGCCTCAGGGTTCCCGACCTTTGCTTGGTTCTAGTTCCTGGCACCGTTGGGCTCTTAGATGGTAAGTTCCTGGCAGGCCAGGCTCCCAGGCAACAGTTTGAGTAATCCTGTGATTACTCAGCTCCCCCTCCCCAATCTGGGTTCCCAGCACCTGCTGCTTCAGGGCAGTGGCTCAGGGGTAGGTTCAGAAGGGGAGGTATCCGAGGTGTTTTTCAATTCCTGCTGCCCCCACTGCCACCTCTGCCCGTCCCCTTCTCATCCTCTCCCCTCCCCTCCTCCACAGTCACACTTATGCGCACCAGGACTTTAACGTTGAGGTTTTGGGTAGATGGCTTCGAAGGGGACCCAGGTGTCAGGGGAAGGAGGGAGGAGTAGGAAAAAGGGCCTGACAGGGCTGACAGAGCCAGGACGTGACTGGGTTTTTCTGTGTTTCTTTGGCCCTCTCTCCATCTCTGGGTCTAAGTCTCTATTAATCTGACCCTCTAGTTTGGACCCTCTGCCTCTGTGTCTGTCTCCCTGGGTACCGCTGTCTTGGACTACAGCTGGGGACATAGGGCAGTGGCTGGCCTCATGGCTGGGGTCTAAACTCAGACATCCCCCAAACCCGGTATTTGTGCTGGAGGCCTGTGGCTGGCCACAGAGCCCCAGGAGAAGGGTGAGGTCGTGGTGACACTGTTGTGAGGTTCCTAGAGCCGGGCCAGCAGCGGGTCAGGCGTGGGACAGGGAGATGTGTCTGGGTCACCCGTGTGGTCAGCGCACACACGCATGCGGATGTGGCTCTGGGAGAAGGGAACAGGCTGGGAGGCCTGTGGTCGACGGCGGGGCTGGAGCCTGAGTTCCCACTGTGGCTTGGCCTAATCTCCCTCCCGCTTACTTTTGTGGGCGACCCACGTTGGTTTCTCCCCTCTCTGGGCTCAGGTCCACCGAGGAGAGCGAGACCACAGTGTTGGGGGGAAGGTGTTGAGGCAAGGGCAGACTCCATGGGGCACAAGCATGTCTGGCGACCTCAGATGCCCACTGGCTTTCCTCGCCCTCAGCTCCACTCAGCGGTAACCGGCGTGGCACATGCTCCCCATGGTGATATCATTTAACTGTACCACCTACAACCACCCCAGGGACAGGCAATGTTATTTTCATCCTGATTTTACCAACGAGGAACCTGAGGCCCAGAGAACCTAAGTGACTTGACGTGCAGGTGCCCCCACATTTTCTGCCCCTTTTCCAAGCACCCGAACCCCTCTTGTTCCCTCTTCCCTCCATGCTTTCCAATCTTCTCTTAACGCACTGGAAGGAACCTGCACTGCCCACTTTCCCCCGGTCCTGGGTGACCACAGCTTTCTGTGTGTGTGATGCACAGGCAAGTAGGGCTGGGGCTGGGGATCGAGTCCTAGCGGAGGGTTTCAGACCCCTGGTGCCCTGCCTCTTTGAGGAGGCAGCTTAGTCTGACTCACCTCAAGGATGATGGACACAATACTACAGGGAGTGGCGGGCAAGTCATGGTCACCCTCCCACCTCACCTCAGCAGACCCTACACGTGATCAGGGCCTAGGTGTGGGCCCGAAGGGAACTCAGAGGGAGGCAGCAGGTCAGCAATGGCAGAGAATAGACCTCTATGCCCTTGGGAGGGACAAAAACACCGGCAGTAGCAGGAATCCCAACTCTGCCAGCTCCCTTCAAAGATGGGCTGGAGGAAGGCCAGCTGCTGGGCCCTGGAACTCAGTAGAGAGCTGTGGGCATTGACAGCATCAGTCAAAGGAGGGGGCAGGCACAGCTTATAGTGAGTTCAGTGAACAAACACTAACACACAAACATGTACGTGTGCCCCCTGGCTCACGCAGACATGCATTGGCTTACAAATCACATGTACCTTTCATGTGTACACACACACACACACACACACGCAAACATGCCCACTGATATGTGCACCCCAAACGCCGTGTACACAGAGCAGCTTAATGGAAAGCTCAGGGGAATTGGAGTGTAGACCCAGCTGTGGGTCAAACTAGCCGTGTGAGCCTGGGCCAACGGCCTTCCTCATCTGGTCTCTTTCTTCGCTTTCTTCGTCGGCAAAGGAAAGAAAAGGTTGAGCGAGATGGTCTCAAGCCCCAGGCAGCGTTACACCCCTGATCTGTGTGCATGCAGTTGGACACGGAGGCCTTCGTGTGCACATAAGCATATTCACAGAGCCACCCGCTCTCTGCTCTGGGGCCAGGGCCCTGGGAGCCCTGCCTGATGCTCTCCCTGGCTCCCAGGCGTCCAGCAGAACTGGCTTGCTAGCCCCACTCTCCTGTGCTCCATCTTGCTCTTCTCCCTCCCCTCTCCGGGCCCCCCTCTGTGGACCCTGTCCCTCCCTGAGCCTTCTCTGCCCGGCTGAAGATGGCTGGCATCTCTACCTGGCCCAGGTGCCCCCTGGCTTGGTGAGCCACATCTTCCCGCCAGGCCCCACACTCTGCCCGGGGGAGCCCAGTGGGGGAGGGTGGCCCAGAGGAAGCCCCCTGGGCGGGAAGCAGGTGTTGTGAAGTAGCGAGGACTCCTAGGTCCCCAGGCGGGCGGGAGGGAGGCAACGGGGCCTTTTAAACTTGAAGCGCTGAGCAGGTGGCCTCCTCGCAGCTGCTGTCTCTGCCCCGCTAGAGCTGGAACAGCTCCTGGCCGTCCCACAAAACAAAACAAAAAAATACAAAAACCGGCCCCCACAGCCCCTGGGCTGGCAGCACTTCGCACATTACTCCTTCCAGTTTGCAGGAGGGAAAGAGGCTGAGCTGAGCCGGGCGGGGCGGGGTGGGAAGCACCGTGGCCCTGTATCCACAGGCCAGGCACACGGGGTAGGGCCCAGAGAAGGCCCCAGGCCCACCTCCTGCTCTTTCTTTTCCAGCACAAATCGAAGTGATTCCTTGCAAAATCTGTGGGGACAAGTCATCTGGGATCCATTACGGGGTTATTACCTGTGAGGGGTGCAAGGTGAGTGCACACGTGCACATGGTGTCCGAGAGATGAGGAGGGGGTGGTCGGTGGCCATGGACCCCAGGGATGGGCTCCTGAGGCGGCCGGGGCGGTGCCTGACCTGGAGGGCCCTGCACGCAGGGGCCTTGTCTTAAGCTGGGGAAGCGATTGCGGGACGAATCGCAATCACACCAAGAAATGGAGAGGAAACTGACCTCAGGACCTGGGAAAGCTGGGGTCAGAGCTCGTGGGCTGGAGGCGCTGGGGGCTGAGCTGGCCTGGCCACGACCAGCAGCCCGGTCTCCACCTGCCTCCCCAGGGTTTCTTCCGCCGGAGCCAGCACTGTGGCGTGGCCTACGCCTGCACCCGCCAGCAGAACTGCCCCATCGACCGCACCAGCCGGAACCGATGCCAGCACTGCCGCCTGCAGAAATGCCTGGCCCTGGGCATGTCCCGAGACGGTGAGGCCCCGTGGGCAGACCCCCCAGCTTTCCCTGCAGCCTTGAGGGACCTCCTGGCCTCTGCACATGCCCTTCCCAGGGTCCCCTCTCCATCCCTCCCGATAGGCCCTGTCTCCTCTGCTGCCCACTGTGGGGTGAGCAGGCCACCCTCATCGGAGCTCTTCCCAGCCCCCAACTTCAGGCTCGGCTAGAACAACCCTCCTTTCCCTGTGGCCCCCAGCTCCTCCTTTTCTTCTCCTCGGGATGGATCCTCCTCCCTCCACTCACCTCTTTCCCTCCTGCCCCATCGCTCTAGCCCTGGCCCCTCTCTCTTCCCAGCCCCTCACCCCTGTCCTGAACTCTGTGTCAGGAATGGTGGCCTCAGGGTAACCCAGAGGCCGGGAGGGTGTGGGCTTGCTGTTCCTGGGGCCTTTCTCCACCTTCCTTGCCTACCCCCTCCTCACACCCCCACCCCCACCCCACCACAGAGGGAACCCAGGCTGGGGGGGCATGAGCTGAGGGGGAGCCAGAAGGAGCCTGTCAGCACTTTTCAGCGCCCAAAATAACAAAGTGAAAGGAAGCAGGCAGGGGTGCGAGGGGCAGGCGGGGCGAGGGGCTGTGCCCCCACACCTGGGAGGGGGGGGGGGCGAAAAGGCAGGAAAGAGAGAGCAGAAGAGGATGTTCAGACACCAGCCGCGGAGCCTGGGTTGGGCTGTGGTGAGTATCTAGGTCACCAGGGAGCCTGCAGCCTGACCACAGGGAGACCTGTGTTCTCAGCCTCCTCTTCCTCCGACCCTCCTCGAAAGGCGAGGTGACCCCGATACAGCCTGAGGCCCCCTCCTCGGCCACCCCCAGTCCGGCTTCGAAAGGCCAGGATTCTCAGTCCAGAGTCATGGCCTAGACTCGGCCACATTTAGAAGCTGGGTTCACGCCGGGAGAGTTTACTCAGATGAAATGCCTGGGCCCCCGAAGCCGACAAGAGAGAGAGGTGGGAGGGTCCTGAGCAGAGTCCCCCAAAAGGAGGCGCTCGGGCAAGACCCCAGAAGCTCTGCTTGGAGTCGGCTATTCAGGGAGCAGCAAGTTAACCCCCCATCATCAAAACGCTGTGGGCTCTGCCCAGTGCCTGTCCTCCTGCCTCAAAAGCTCCCGGCCCCCACCTCTTGCAGCTGTCAAGTTTGGCCGCATGTCCAAGAAGCAAAGGGACAGCCTCCACGCTGAGGTGCAGAAACAGCTACAGCAGCAGCAGCAGCAGCAGCAGCGGGAGCAGCGGGAGCCACGGGAGCCACGGGAGCAGGTGGCCAGAACCCCTCCTGCGGGGGGCCAGGGGGCAGCCGCCCTCTCCTGCACCCTGGGGCTCCCCGATGGGCAGCTGCCCCTGGGCTCCTCGCCTGACCTGCCCGAGGCCTCCGCCTGCCCCCCTGGCCTCCTGAGAGTCCCAGGCACCAGGCCTACCTACTCCCACAGCTTGGCCAAGGCCGGGCTCAACGGGGCCTCGTACCACCTCGAATACAGCCCAGAGCGGGGCAAGGCTGAGGGCAGAGAGAGCTTCTACAGCCCGGGCGGCCCGCTGACCCCTGACAGATACGGACTTCATGTGGAGGATCCCAGGCATCCTGGGCGGGGGGACCCAGGACAAGGCCCGGACAGCTACCGCAGCCCCAGTTTCCGCAGCACCCCCGAGGCGCCCTATGCCTCCCTGACGGAGATCGGTGAGCAGCTGAGGAGGCGGAGGGGGTGGGCAGGATGAGGGGGGGCATTCTGAGAAAGAGGTCCTAGTCGGCCCCCCATGTAAACCAAATGCGAGCCCCAGAGAGCTGAGGGGTCCTGGACAAGGGGTGGAGGGGTCAGCAGAGCAGGGATGCGCCAGGCAGAGGGGTGCCCTCGTATGTGTGGCGAGGCGCCAGCTGAGACGGAGCCCGTGTGCCTTCTCCTCTGGCCCCAGAGCACTTGGTGCAGAACGTGTCCAAGTCCTACCGAGAGACGTGTCAGCTGCGGCTGGAGGACCTGCTACGGCAGCGCGCCAACCTCTTCTCCCGGGAGGAGGTGGCTGGCTACCAGCGGAAGGTGAGGCCGGGGCACCTGCCCGGAGCGGGACACCCCACCACTGGGGAGTCCAGAGGTGGCCACCTGCACACCATGTGGGCTGGGGCCGAGCGGCGCATCCCAGATAGACACATGTGCACCCACGTTGGGGTGGGGGTGTCTACCTCCCAGCAGATGGACCCCAGCTTTCCCCGAGCCTCTGCCTGGTAACACTTGGCTGGGTCTCCACGCCCCCACCTTGGCGCACTGTCCCTCCTCTGTCAACCACAACACCAGGCAGAGCCCTGATGGCCACTCGTTGAGCACCCTCCCCGGCCAGGCTCTGTGCGAAATACTCTCTGACATCCACTGTCCCTGACCCTCTGACAACCAACCCGTGAGGTGGGGATGTGTTTCTATTTGTAACAGACCTGGAAACTGAGTGCGGAGTGATTAACAGACTCACTCCAGGCCCCAGGGCGTGGAGCCAAAGGCAAATCCAGGTCCGCTGGGCTCCAGAGCGAATGTTCCCTCCTCTGTCCCGCTGGGACGGTACCGCCAGCTCTAAACACACTCGTCCGGCCCTGGCCTGTTGCCTCTCTAGACCATTAAGGCCTTTGGGTGTGTCTTTTTGGGAGGGGGTCAGTAGGTGCTTTTCACTTCAACAAAGATGCAGACTCTTTGAGGGCAGAGCTGTGTCTTAGACTTTCTTATTCTCCCACAAGAGCTCAGTCCGTGCCAGCCGCTGGTGGGTGCTCAGGAAGTGGGACCCAACCCCCGGGGAATGGACCCCGAGTGTGCATCTGTGCTGAGAATAGGCTAACGCGGCCGCGCGGAGAGAATGTGGGAGTTCATAAACTATCCCCGGCCGCTTGGCTTGTCTGTGCGGGCTCCCAGGGGCATGGGGCGGTCCCCGGGTCATAAGGGGCTACAGTGGGACCCTCCTCCCTCCCTGCAGTCCATGTGGGAGATGTGGGAGCGCTGCGCCCACCGCCTCACCGAAGCCATTCAGTACGTGGTGGAGTTCGCCAAGAGGCTCTCGGGCTTTATGGAGCTCTGCCAGAACGACCAGATTGTGCTCCTCAAAGCAGGTGCCCAGGGAGGGTGGGCAGGCCTGGGGGTAAGGGGGGGTGGGGCTGGGCGTGCAACGGGGCAGGGCTGAGTGGAGGGAGGAGGTCAAGGAACCAGGATGCCCAGCGGGACAGAGACGCAGGCCTGGCTTTGTGTGACGCTGCACCTGCCTTTTCCTCCCCGCCCCAGGAGCCATGGAAGTGGTGCTGGTGAGGATGTGCCGGGCCTACAATGCCAGCAACCACACCGTCTTTTTTGAGGGCAAATACGGTGGTGTGGAGCTGTTCCGAGCCTTGGGTGAGAAGCAGGGGAACGAGAGAGAGGAGTCGGGTGGGTCTAAAGCTTCAAGCCCCAGGGCAGATTGCCCCCTCTGCGCCAAACCCCAACAGGGTGTCCCTGGGCACTGAGGCCTCACGCAGCGGGCCCACTCTTCCGCTTCCTCTCCATCAGGCTGCAGTGAGCTCATCAGCTCCATCTTCGACTTCTCCCGCTCCCTGAGTGCCCTGCGCCTTTCTGAGGACGAGATTGCCCTCTACACAGCCCTGGTCCTCATCAATGCCAGTGAGTGTCGCTGGGCCAGGGTAAGGGACATTCAGTGGGCTGGGGTGTGCCAGATATTGAAGAGTCTAGACCTTCGGATGTGGTTAAGTCTGGGAAATTGCTTTAAAGAGCATATAAGCCTGGCCAGTGTGGCTCAGTGGTTGAGCATCAACCTATGAGCCAGGAGGTCACGGTTTGATTCCTCGTAAGGGCACATGCCCGGGTTCCAGGCTCAATCCCTGGTAGGGGGCGTGCAAGAAGCAGCCAATTGATGATTCTCTCTCATCATTGATGTTCTATCTCTCTCTCCCTCTCCCTTCCTACCTCTGAAATCAATTAAAAAATATTTAAAGAGCATATGCACCCATTAAAGCCCAATATTGCTATAAAATAAAATGAGTTAAAATGAAGATTCAGAGGAGCCCGAGAGAGGGAAAGGCGCAGCACAGGTGCGGTTGGAGAAGTGGGCGATGAGAGGATGAGGGGAAGCGAGCCAGTTCCCTGGGAGAAACGAGTCTGGCTGTGCATCCAAGTCAGTCATGCCACTGTGACCACACGTCGGAATCACCTGGGGAGCTGTAAGCAGGATTGTCACCTGGGCCCGTCTCCCAGAGATTCCAAGGTTTATTAATCTGGGTGCAGCCAGAGCATCAGAATTGTTAACAGCCTCCCCAGGTAGGTGATCATAATGTGCCACCAACCTTGAGAGTCTCTGCTCTGTGTGGACTCACTTGAAGCCTGTACGCCATCATGGCAGGACTCCGGACAGCACTCCACTAGGCGGGCGAGGCCTGGGCTGGGCCTGGCCAGCAGAATGCTAATCAGTATTCGGAGAACCTGGGGAAGAGTGTCCAGCAACTAACCTGCGTTTACAGACCAAAACGATCAGTTTCTGGCTCTGCCACTGAGTAGAGACCTAAAAATACTCCTTAAACTGGAAATAACGACTTAAAAGGTGACATCTGGCTATTTTATGAAGCCAGGGCAAATGGTGGTTTGTCTGCTGACGTTAGCTGCAGACTGCGGCAGAGGCCCTGATGCTGGCCTAGGTGACCTCATGAAGGCCATCTCCTATCTGAGGTCACCCTTGGCTAGTGGACAAGGGCTCTCTTCCAATCTCTTGGGGGTTTTTTTCCATAGCAGAAGCCTAGTGCCTAGGATTGGATGGGTTAAGAGAAATACCAGGGTACCAGGGAGAAGACAGCTTGGAAGTTCTTATCTTTTTAATCTCTCTCCCCAGTTTTCCTTGTAGGCAGCCAAGCCCAAGGCCCTAGAGCTAACAATTATCAAATCAACACACACACACACACACACACACACACACACACACACTCAGCTGAAAGACCTCATCCAGAACAGATGTCCAAAATAGTACACCCTAGGCCTAGTCGGTTTGGCTCAGTAGATAGGTCATTGGCCCACAGATTGAAGGGTCCTGGGTTCAGTTCCGGTCAAGGGCACATACCTGGGTTGCAGGCTCGATCCCTGGCCCGGGTCAGGGTGTGTGCTAGAGGCAACCAATCGATGGATCTTTCTCACATCAATGTTTCTTTCTCTCTGTCTCTACCCCCTCCCTTCCACTTTCTAACAACAACAACAAAAAATAACCAGCCAACCAAACAAAAAATAGTACACCCTTTTGGTGGAAGCTATTGTCCATGTGTTTTCTTGTTCTCACTGTGGCCCCTTCCCCTCCTTCAGGCCGGCCGGGGCTCCAAGAGAAAAGGAAAGTAGAACAGCTTCAGTCCAATCTGGAGCTGGCCTTTCACCATCATCTCTGCAAGACTCATCGCCAAGGCATCCTGGCAGAGGTAGGAGCAGTCCCTGGGGCAGACAAGGCCGGCCCAGCGCCAGAGCTGTGACATCAGGGCTTGTGGGGCCCGGGCTCCGAGGGTACAGAGAAGCATCTGCCACAATGCATTAGAGAGCTTGCAACAGCACGGGAACTGAGGGATCCGGCAATCACTTCTATGTGCGTAAAGATGGAAAGTTAGAGAGCCCGGGATTGGGAGGGACCTCCAGGGAGCAATTCAGTTTAATATAGCCAACACTTACCCAGCACCCGCTCGTACAAGGCACTGTGGAATGGAAATATACAGGGATGTGTCCTTGTCCCTGCCGCGAGTTTTCAATCTGCTACGAAGAAGAGACTCCTGCACGAATAGCTCTAATATAGCGTAGAATGTGATATAGTAATAACGCAATTAACACAGTTCTGTCTGTGGCAGATGTGATCGCTCATCCTCAGCGCAGCTCATTCAATAGGGCAGGTACTAATATCTTCCTGGACGATTCAGGAGGCTTAAGTGACTTAGCCAATTTTACACGATAGGTAGGTGATACACGAAAGATTTAATCCCAGTGGTCTTTCCACCATATCCCTTGCCTGGATACATTACTTTGATAAGAGCTTTGGGGGAAATGTTTGGAGAACATAGAACAGGATTAAAAATAATTTGGGGGTAAAAGGAGTGAATCATAAATGCTTCCTAGAGGAGCGTTTAAAGTAGGCCATGAAATAGGTAAGATTTTTAACAGACATTCACGGGATGGGGCAGGCATTTCAAGTTTAGAGAACATCTGAGTAAAGCTAAGGAGACGGAATAATGCCTACATGGAGAATATAGTTCATGGTGCATTTGCACTAAAGGGTAAGATCAGGATAGATTGATGGAGGCAGGGAAGTAGCGGAAGACGCGCTTGAAAATTAGGTCAGGGAGCAAATCAGAGAGCACTTTAAATGACATAGTAAAGAGTAAAGGCTTTATTTCTAGGCAGTGGCGAGCCCCAAGGGCTAAAAGAATGATATCATCAGAGCTATTATTTAGGCAATTTAATTTGGAACCAGTGTAAAGGAACCACTTATGTAAGTGTTCAAGCAACGGGCCCTTGCTATGTGCCAGGCACGGTGCCCGGTGCTGAGGATACAGCAATGACTTAAACAACTGTCTGTCTCTGCCCTAAAGAACTTCCAGTCCAGTAGACTAGATTAGGAGGAGAGACGGAGGCTGGAACCTGGGAGAACAGCTGTGAAGCACATCTGCTTAGATCCACCTTCAGAATATATCACCTCCCCACTGTCACCACACACATGGCACCCACCCCCCAGCTATCAGTTTTCACTTGGATTGTTAGAGAGGCCTCCTAACGGGACCCCTGTCCCACCCTTGCCTGCCCTGTGTCAGCCAAACAGCACTGTTCTCAGCCCTCCAATAGCTGCCCTCCATGCTGAGAGTCAAATCCAGTGTCTGTGTCAGGGTCTACCGGCCTCATGACATGACCCCTGACTGCTTCTCTCACCTCTTCTCCTTCCGCTGCCCCCTCAACTACCCTTTCCAGCAACACTGGCCTCCTTGCTATTCCTTGAACACACCACACACAGTGGTATCTCTGAGCTTTCGTACTTGCGGTTCCAGCTGCTGGAATGTTCTTCCTCGAGTTTTCTAAATGGCCTGCTCCATGCCTTCATTCTGGAAAGGTTTTCCCAGACCACATTGTACCAAAAGCCCCTTACCCTGCTTTATTGTTCTTTAAAGAAATTCTCGGACATGTTATATATTTGTTTAGTTTCTGGATCCTTGACTAGAATATACATTTAGTAAAGGTAGATATCTTATCCACTGATGTATTATCCCCACAGCCCATCCCAGTGTCTACCTGAGTAAGTGCTCAACACCTACTTGTTGAATGAATGAATGAATGAATGAAACTACTGCAAAAGCCAAAGAAACTCAAAGTAAAGCAGACAAATGAAAAGACAATGAATTCAAGAGATGCCAAAGGGTCCCATGCTGCCTGCTTTTCCCTGGCTGCCCCTTTCCCAGGAAACTAAGCTGGGCAGAAGGGGTGGGGGTGGCTGTGAGAGGTATTTTTAAGCCTTGCTTGCTTATAGAGGAAACTGCAGAAGATAAATGGCTTTCTCAGCCTTTTCCCAATGAGGTCTCCCTCCCTCTGTCACCTCATGGGTCTCTGGGTCTTTTTCATTCCCCCCTCCCCAACTGAGTCCTGGCAGTGTTGAGGAGAGAGAGAGAGAGAGAGAGAGAGAGAGAGAGAGAGAGAGAGAGAGAGAAAGAGACTGACTCTACCCAAGGAGCTTAAACCTAGGGTAGGAAGGCAGACAAATTGGATCGTTTTTCTAAAATGGGATTTAAGTGCTACACAGAGGAAAGACCTTTAATCTGGCAGAGGGATGGGGGCACTAGTTAGAGAAATGTTCCCAGAGGTGGTGACACTTGAAACTAAGAATTAGCCAAACAAAGAGCTGGAAAGGCATTCCAGGTGAGGGGAACAGTATCAACAAAAGCAAAGAGTCATGTGACCGTACAGAAATCAGAGACTCACAGAGTTTCACTATTATAAGAGCATAAAGTATCAATTAAAGGCTTTGACAAGCTTCCTTTTTAGGGGTAGCAGGAACATGATTGGGGGTTTCACCCAGAAAACATACACCTGGCCCACATCAGCGTTCCCTTGCCTCTGCTTCCTGACAATACCTACCCCTACCCATGGGGTCTGGCTGTCCCAACAAGTGCCAAGTGCACAGAGAGAGAGGCAGAGGGTTACCCTTGGCGAGGAAAGATGAGAGGACTCCATTGCTCTGGGGAGAGCGCTGAAGTACTGACCCTCCTTCCCCATTAACTCATCTCCAGCTGCCACCCAAGGGGAAGCTTCGGAGCCTGTGCAGCCAGCATGTGGAAAAGCTGCAAACCTTCCAGCATCTGCACCCCATCGTGGTCCAAGCTGCTTTCCCCCCACTCTACAAGGAGCTCTTCAGCACTGAAATCGAGGCCCCCGAGGGGCTGTCCGAGTGACCTGGAGGAAGGACTCCTTTCCTGTCTAGAACCTGCTGGACCACCTCCCTGGACACCGCCCCCCCCCCCCCCCGCCTTTTCCTTTCCCGTGACCCTGGAGGGTGGCCCTACCTGTTCTTTGGGACTGAGCAAGTGCTGAGACTGGCTTTCTACCCACAGGCCCGCCTGGCCAGTGGGCCGAGACCCAGAGGGCGGGGCGAGGGGAACAAGGTCTCCAGCCTCAGCTTTGCTTGATCCTCTCTCCCATGCCCCTTACCCCAGCTTCTGGAGCGAGGGGGTGGCGAATATTAGGACCTCTAGGAGGACCAAGGTGTCCTCGGGACAACAGGGGGGATCCAGGACAGCCTGGACAGATGGAACTCAGCTCTGGGCTCAGAAGCTAAGAATAGACCGTTGAAATACCTCATTGCATTTCCCGTGGGCTTCAGCGCAGGGGGAGCATCAAGCTGAGACTGGCGGCTGGAGCCCAGAAGGACCTGTACAGAACTTGAATCTGGACCTTTAGATTTTCTGCCTTCCCCTCTCCTCCCAGCCCAGCAAGGAAATGGTTGGGCACCCTGCCCTTCTCCTGGGGTCTAAAAAACACACAAAAGAAACCCTGCATACATGGAGGGAGGGGCTGGGGATAATTTTTTATGGGATTTGGGTATAGGCTAGGGTACAAGGAGAGCCAAGAGCATCACAGACAGAGAGAGGGTGAGAACTCAAACCTCCCTCATGTGCACTTTAAGAATAGACGTTAGGGGTTAACACAAATCTGATCCGGCACACGTCCGCAAACAGGGGAAACACACACACACACACACACACACACACACACGCACTCGACCTGCAGTTATGCGGCTCTACAGACACGTCTGATCTCACATGATCTCCGTCTTCCTTGAGGTCACTGAGGAGCTTAGCGGCCTCAGGAAGAGCACCAATCCTGAGGGACCCAGAGCATGCCCATGGTGCCCCACCCACCAGTCTTAGACCTGGGGCGCTCCCAACGCTATCCCAGCCCAGCGGTCTCCTATCACAAGACAATCCAAGAGAAGCAGAGCTGGCTGGCCACTGGACAGTCCGAAGGCCACGGATGGACCTCCAAGAGGACAGTGTAGGCCCAGCTCTCGCGAGGGAGGAAGGAAGCAGGAACAGGTGCAGTCCGGGCACTCAGCGATTGGGAACCACCGACCGCAGCAGGGGGAGGAGGCCCCCGTCTCCAGCCCCAGCCCCAGGCTTTACAATGAGCTGCCAGCCCTCTGCTGAGGGATGAACAGCAGAGGGAGGGGGTTTGCCTGTCAGGGGAGGGATTCATCGGGTAAACGTAAACCCCAATCTGTGCCATTCTTTATAAAATGATTTCAGAGGCAAGAGGTGTGTGTGTCTTCAATAACATCATCTACACACGGCTCCGCAGTCTGGCTCCTAGGTGGGGACCCAGGTCTCCGGCCCAGCCAGCCGTCAGGTCAGCGTTGTCAGGGCTCAGCCCCTACTCCGATCACCCCTCGCTGAAGCTTGGGAGCGGATCCCCGGGAACCCCCACACAAGGAGCCTCAGACTCAGCTCCGCAGGGGACGTTCCGGGCGGAGAACTTTCCCCACAAATGATACCCACAGGGGACATTTACAGTGAGAGGCTGCCGGGAATTGCCCTGCATCTGGGAAGACAGCCCTAAGGGGCTTGGCCCTGGAGCTCCCCGGAGGGAATTGGGATGTGGGGGAGACTCTTTGGAGCTGCCCAGCTGCTTCCACTGCTCGGCCCCCACCCCTGGGGGCTCCAGACTCTCCCCCTCACCCCCCCCCCCGCCCCCTCACCCGCTCCCCAGCAGTGGCGCTGCTGCAGCCCTCCCTGGCTGCTTTATTTATTTATTTTGCACCAACGGGGTTGCTGCAGACTCATTCTCGCCTGGTTTAAAAAGAGAGAGAGAGGAAAAAAAATGCTTTCTGGTTCTTTTTTCTACCTCAGTCTTGGCAGCAGTGGCCGCAGCAGCAACAGCAGCGGCGGCGGGCAGGGCGGGTGGACTGGCAGGCGGGCGGGCAGGCAGGTGGGGGGCAGTGGGAGTGAGCACCAGGGGAGGTGTGGACCCAGGTGCGGCTCGAATGGGACGAGCCCCCAGCCCTGGGCAGATGCGGAGCCTAACTTGATGCGGCCCTCCAGCTTCTCCGGTAAGTGCCCCCACCTCCCGACCGGGGCTGCAACTGCCCTTCTCCATAGCGTTCTCAGAGAAAAGGCCAGACCCCCGCCCGTCAGGGCTAGAGGGTTTGTAGCCCCACCTCCATCCCGCCCCCCAGGTAACCATTGATCCTGGCCCCACAGGACTTTGGTGGGAGAACTAAGATGTCCCAAGGGCCCCTGGGGGCAGGGACTCCAAGGAGACCTCCGTTCAGCTCCCCGGGGCTCACTGTCTCTGAGAAGTGTCTTCCCACCCAACGAGCAGTGTGGCTATTCCAGAAATCTTTCCTCTTGGAGCCCCCTCCCCATGCAGGTCCCCATGTCTCAGCGAGGTCTGCCTTAAAGAGGCTCTCCAGGTGCAAATGTGTTCCTGACGGCCACAGAGAGACAAAACAGCACCCCATTCCTTGAGGGGATGGCGCCCCAGCCCCCAGCCCATTTGAGGAGAGAGAAAAGTGGTTCTGACACTGATTTCTTCCTGCAAAGTGGCCGGAAGCCAGTCCTGTAGCCATGGAAATTGGCAAGGGAAGCCCGTGATGAAATTAGCCACCTTATAAATAAAGAAAATGGATTAGCCCCAGATCCCGCAGCCCCGGGCCCAGGAGGCTTTGGGAACGAAGAGGGAACAGGCGGCAGAGGGAAGGAGGGAAAGAGAGAAGGAGGGAAGCTGGGCTGCACGCTTCGCTGCACTTTTGCTGAGTGCAGAGCAAGAGGGATGAGCAGGAACTGCGGCTGGTGGTGACAAAGTGCGAGCTGCTGGGTGGACTTCCCAGAGCAGGCACAGGGAGAATGAGACAGGCTGGAGCGGCTCTTAGCAGGCCATCGATACCTGTGGGGTTGACGTAGGGGCGAGAGGAGGCTGGTCAGCAGCCCTTGCCCGCCCTGTGCCCACCCCATGCCATTCTTTCTCAAGCTCAAGTCTCAGAGTAGTGTCCTACATCCCTCTACTGTTTGGGCCTCTTTCTTCAGTTTTCCATTTCCTGTATGTCTGAAGTGGCTATAGGACAGCCACCACAGCGACCCTTCTAGAGGAGAGTGTCGAGTGGGAAGGGAAGGAGAAGGAATCCTACCACCTCGCAAACTGCCTCTCCTGAGTTCCACGGGGCGGGGAGAAAGTGAGGCGTGCAGTAGCGAGCTAACCCTGTGAGGGCCAGAAAGCCGGAAGCCTGGAAGCCCAGAGGTGACCAGGATCTGCAGCCAGAAAGAAACCCGGGCATCCTGCCTCCATCTGGCCAGCCCTTGCCAATTCCAAACCCTCCCCTCCTTGGGGGGTCCCTGTTGGCATTGGACAGGGTGTCAGTCGGTGCCCAGTGGGCACTGTAATCACAGCCTTCCTGACTTTGTCCACACCCCTGGCACCCAGAAACCCACTTTAACAGGCTGCGCACGCAGCCTGTGCCCAGAGATCTGCTGCGCCTGCCAAGGGCCGCCTTGCTCCCTACCCACCTGTCTGAGCAGGTGCTGTCCCGCCCGCCCCCGCCCCGTCCCCCCCATACATTTCTCTGTCTCCCTGGTTCTCAATCTGTCCCTTGTGTATTGCTCAGGAGGCTGAAGCCAAAAGGGACAAGAGATTTCCCTCAGATTCACACACTGGACTTGAATCAGAGCACCATGAAGAAGGGACCTAGGAGAAGCTTAAGTCTGAGGACCAAGCAACAAAACTCCAAGCTTGGGCAACTCACATACCCCAACATCATCTATCGGGGAGGCGGGGTTGCCCTTGGGGTTCTTATGAGGGGCTCAAGTGGGCCCTGTGTCCTGTGCCACAGCTAATGTGCCGCTTGGCTGTGGTCCACACAGCATTCTGGGGAAAGTGGATCTCGCTAGTCCAGAGCCTCAGGCTCTGTGCCAGCTTAAAGGAAGGCAGACAGGCAGTCAGTGGAGGCTGGGGGGCTGTGGCCTGCACAGTTCCCAGCTTTGGGCGATGGACTCATGGTAAAGCCTCTCTCCAATCAGGATCCAAGGTTATGATCCCCCTGAGCCTTCAACAAAACTACAGGCAGATATATGGGAGGAGAGGGTGGAAAGAGAGGGAGAGAACGGAGCTTGGGAAGAGCAGATAAGGGACCTGAAGCATTTCTGGACCTCACAGGTACAGAGGAAAACCCGTTACAGGGAGACTCAAAGTTGCCTCCTGCTGCTTCCTATCCCAGTCCAGTCCCATAAACCTTCCCACAGAAATCAGTTTTTTAAAAATATTTTTTAAATTGATTTCAGAGAGGACAGGAGAGGGAGAAAGAGATAGGAACATCAATGATGAGAGAGAATCGTCGATTGGCTGCCTCCTGCAGGCCCCCAATGGGGATCAAGCACACAACTCAGGCATGTGCCCTGACCAGGAATCGAACCGTAACTTCCTGGTTCATAGGTCGGTACTCAGCCACTGAGCCACGCCAGCTGGGCCAGAATTCAGTCTTGACTAGGGCTCCACTTGACCTGCAGGCACCCAGGACCGGGAGGAAGGGAAAGTAGAGCTTCCCCAAAAAGAAGCCCCCAGGAGGTACACACCAGAATTCCTCCTGGTCTGTGCCCCACTTCCCGGCAGTTCTGAGGTGGTGGCTCTCTCTCCTTTCTCTCTCTCTCTCTCTCTCTCTCTCTCTCTCTCTCTCTCTCTCTCCCCCCCTTCTCTCTCTCTCTCTCCCCTAAGGAAGTCCAGGGAAGCCCAGGGTCACCATCATCTGAAGCCACTTTCCAAAAAAGGCCATGTCATCATCTGTTCCAGGACTGAAGAGGGGATGGCTGCCGTCACAGTAGCTCCAAAGCAAGCCCGGCCCCCATGGCCGCCTCTCCTGCTCTTGCTCCTCCTGCCCGCAGGGAGCAGTGGCGGCTGCCCTGCGGTGTGTGACTGCACCTCCCAGCCCCGGGCAGTGCTCTGCGCCCACCGGCGGCTGGAGGCTGTGCCCGGGGGCCTCCCGCTGGACACTGAGCTCCTGGACCTGAGTGGGAACCGTCTGTGGGGGCTGCAGCAGGGG